ATAGCACGAATACAGTAGGGCAGGGATGTTAGTTCAGGTAGTGTTTCGAACTTGCACAGTTTTGTTTCTGTGTGCTAATCAGCAGAAGATACGAACCACTGTTGTAATGCAAGGCTTCTTAAATTAAAGAGACCACAATTTAACTGCCTAAATGTGCCATACCTCAAGATAATTAGATGCTGTGATTTTCCATAGGGTTTAGGTAACCTTAGGAACTCATGTATGGTTTCAAAAGTGAGTGAAGGACTAAATTCACTTAAACATTTTTGATTGTTTTCTATCATTCAATAATTAACTTAATCAGGAGAAATGTTTGTACTAGTTTACAAACGTGGTGTTGCCTAAGAAAATACATGTACAGAGCACCATCTAGTGCAGGATATCACAAACACAAAAGCTTTTCTGCTCATATGTCACTCGTCTGTGTTTAGCTAACTTAATATGAACTATTATGTTGCAGAAAGTGCCAGCCCAGTGGCTCCTGTGGCAATATAATTTTGCAATTACATGGGAGACCATGGACTGGAAATTACCTGGGATCTTTTGCAAGAACAACAAAACTGGATGCACTGAAATTCAGGTAATCATCTGTGAGAACCATATACTTTTAAGAGGAATCTGCTTCTCTTCCTTCCCACAGTGTTGGGTGAGATCTTCATTAAATAATTCAATCCAATCTGTTTATAAACTAGGTTGGACACTGATTCTTACAATAGATTTAGAGACCCAACTGCCAGTTTCAATGCCTTAATGCTGCTTAGAGCCTTTGCTCAGCTTCTGCAGAACCTCAGAGCTACCCAGGTTCCTTAAGCCAGGTGTTCACAGGGATGCAAAGCACAACTGGGCAAGATTAAAGATCTGCCTGTCATTAAGAAGGAAAAAAAAGAAGAAATGAAGGAAGCTTAGATTCTATAGGAGACAGGTAAAAGAAACTTATAGACAGGTATTTACAAGTTGCTGAGGAAGGATGGAAGAAAGTGAACTACAGAGGTTTTTTTGCAAAGGCCATATTTTGGTTCTTCTGCAAGCAAACTAACACATGAATTTGGCCCCAGGGTTGTTTAATCAATGTTTGGATATCAAATTTATGTTTCTGATGCAATCTATTTAGCATTAGGGTAGGATTAAGAGGAACGGTCTTCGTTAACTGAAGATGTAGCCATGACAAACTGGATTCCTCCTGCGCTAAACAAAGGATAAGATGGCCCTCAGGTACTTGGAAAAGATGATTTTTGGATGAACACTATGTATTCTAGAAATCTAATTAAGCATCAAAGAGCCACTATCACTGTAAAGTTTTACATTCTCTTTGAACAAACACTTTAACTAACAGAAAATTATAACTTTTCTCTCTCTGAGCATACATTACATACAGATTTTGGCTGAATGCTTGAAACCTCTGATCTACTCTGAGAAAACAGCAAGCATATGCTCATATTCATTTCAAAGTACCTCCTGGTTTTGAATAGCTCCACTTTTTGCTTTGTAAGTTGACCTCTTAATACACAATTAAAAAAAACCAAAACCAAACAACACAAGACAGAAACAAGTGGAAGTTTTGAAAATTTAGCTAGAGAATACCTCCCTGGATACTTTTTATGCTCTTTCTATCTCTTTCACAACTGCCAAAGAGAACCTACTACTGAACAAAAAGCTACATTTTCATTCTTTTTGAGCTAATGAGGAGTAAACTAAAGGAACGTGACAAGAATGTTCACAGATCTGGCAAGCTGTGGTTCAGTTCCCCTTTCTGGGTATACTTTTTTGCTAACAGCGAGGAGAAGTAGAACAAAATGTTAAACTTACAAAAGGTGTCCAGGAATTGGTTTCAGGAATTAACAGTTTTGGGAATGGTGGGGAGAGGTAGGTTCTAGCTAGGCAGTAGAGCTGAAGAGAGGAGTCTCCACTGGAAAGCAGTAGGCCAGATTGCAGTACCGAAGCCCTGTCAATGCATACTAGACATTCCAGGGAAAACAAATGTTGGAGCATCTAAGGCTCTTTTATAGCTCATTTCATTCACCTGGATTTCTGGCTTCCATTCCTTTAAACTCCAAAATGTTTAGCAAATGGAAGTAAACAGAAACAGAAAACCAAAAATATAGAGGTGTTTCCCTTGAACAAATACTACAACAAGAGGCATTTTTGATTAAAGGTTGCTGGTAGCTATCATTATATTCTTTATTAAATCATGACTGACAAAACATTTTCCTTGTTATTTCCTTGGTTCTTCTTCTTCTTCTGTTGGGTTATACAATTAGTATCATATGGTATGTAATAATTTTCAGCTATTTTGGAGTTATTATGTTGTTCTGTCTAATGCCTGAACAAATAACATGCCTTTGTTCTGCTATCGTGTAAGAATAAAGACTACCTTAGAACATGTTTGTACCTGTTGAGGAAATAAATTAATATGAACAGGCAGAGAAAAGAATTCTCTTCCAAGCTGTACTCTCTTGTCTAGTAACTATTTAAACTTGCCTTTTGAAAATAGAGTTTGTTTATTTGAGAACACTTATATGACCATTTTGAATTACAACACTTTGACATGTTTTTCATGTGGACAAAAAGATTTATTACACAAAGAAAGGCCATAGAAAGATGGTGGGAATTAAATACTGTATTTGCATATAGCTAGCAGTATGCTAGATGCTGAAAGACAGCTAGAATATCAAAGTCCTTGTTCTGAAAAGCTTCACTCCAAATAAACATCTAAATGCATGGTGAGATGTACAAAGAAGGATTTGGTCCTCCTTCATTTTATGATTTCCAATAGAGAGAGGGAGTCAAAATTCACATCAGAATACGACAAAAGCATCCTAACTCAGCTGAAAGATTTCATTAGTGTTCTTGTTAGTAAAGAGGATGAATTTATGCCGCTGCAAACAAAAAAATTACTGCAGATTTTATGAGCACAATCTGAACGTGCTAAGTCTTTTCTGTGTGCTAGAGATCCAACTTTGCTGTACTTAAATACTCCATGTCTTTTATTTAAATCATGTGGAATATGATCTGTCTTGATACTCTCCAAATATATGAGCTAATCTTTCCATTTTCCTGTGAAAAACTAAGGGTGTTTTTGCAATTTCTACATAATGTCATCTATGTTTTTGCAAAGAATTAAATCCTCCTCCTAGAGTAGCAAAATAATTTGAAAATCATTATGGGAAATACTGTAAACACAACATGTTTTTAAACTACTCCAAGACTTCCGTCACATTATTAATGACCCATACCTACAGACCTGCTTTTAGAGTTACACAGGAACCCATTTTAAATTCTGTAATAAAATTGGATAAAAATACATATCAGATGTTCTGTTTTAATGTTGAATGCTGAATATATATCTCTCTATGTAAATATATACATATATACATGCACGCATACATACGCTGGTATTCCTTCCTGTCAGATACAGAATTTAATTTGGTTTAACTGATTAAACAGAGATCTGCTAAAGGCTTGAACTCTCTAGCAGCATATCTATTGATACATCATGAAAAAGACTGGATTATCTAGAATACCTGCTATTATCACAAAAAGCGGAGACCTCAAAACCTCTATATTGCAGATTTTTATCAGCACCATTTTTACATGATAATGTTCTTTTTCGCTGCCTGAACTCCATTTTTTCTCTACTTAATTCCCTTTTTCAGTTTAGGTATAACCTGATTTATCTTATTGAGTGAGATGATTGTTTCATATGAACCCTCTCTTTTTTCCCCCTGTTGTTCTACACATCCTCCCTCCTTATTCCATGCAATACTTTCAAGGATTCTTGCCAACTTTTTGTTTTGGAGGTTGGAAATGGAAGGAAAAATGGCCACGCAGGGAGTTACCATCCAGCTGACCTGTATTCGTATCAATGTAGTTATAAACTGACTGATAAGATTGCCAAAAGTTAGTTTCAATTATGTTAAGCTTGACTGAAACTGGCTGCCAGGTTCAAAAACTGTATTGGGACAGAGGGAGAGAGACTGGCAGTCCAACCACAAAAGCAAAATTATTTTATGAAAGCAGGGAAATAAAAGTGCCCAAGTTTGGCTCAGATCCATGTGTTGTTTAAAATCTTCATTTGCATCTGCTCAGCAGAAACGGATATTTCATCAGATAGCTCTGTAGAGAGTGTTCCTATCTGTTCCATGGCAGCAAGCACTAATCAGCGATTCTTGTTATTACTGGCTATTAGAGTCTATTGTGGTGCTAGGCACAAAAGCCAGTGGTAGGCAGAGTCTCTGTTATGATTTTTCTTGTACATCTGCAGCTTGAGAAGGGGGAAAGCCCAGGGAGCCAAGACAAGGACACAGGAAAAGGAGAAGATAATAGGCTTAGAAGCAGAACCATGTTGAAGTGATTGAACAGGGCATTCGAATTTGGAGAGTTGTGGAGACTAACAGATACATAAAGACAGTAAAAATTTATAGAGTCAAGCACTAAGAACCTCTACGATGATTTCAGTTGCACACGAAATACACTTCCCTCTACACATGTATTATGATAATCTGTGTTCAAAGCATAGCCCACTTTAGTTAGTTGCAGCTTTTGTTACTTAGCCTTTTGGTAAACTCCAAATGTCAATACATTAAAGTCCAAGTTTTGTTACCAAATGTTAGCCAAAAAAAAAAAAAAAAAAAAAGACAATGGTTACCAAGAAGAAGAAGGGCATAACTACTGACCATCAAAATGTCAGATTTAAACATTGCCTCATTCTTTATACTTTTAGTTTATGCTATGTACAAAACACACACAAGAAACAAATCAGAGGAATTGACAGGCAACTCACTTCTAAAGCTTTGAATCATTCCAAAGAATGTTAAGTTCCATCCACTGAGTACACCAGCCTTACACTTGTATTTAAACATTTTTTTGGTTGTAATACATACAATTAATTTTCACTTTTGAGACACGGTGACAATACTGTTTTTTTTAAAAGGTGAAAGGATTTGTAGTTACTGCAGAAGCCAAAAATTCTCCATGTTGATGAAGATGTCCTTATTCCTAGGTGAATGCCTGCCTGTTTAAAAAAAATCTTGTACACATACTAGCACTAGTATTTGTATCTACAGATTCATAGGCCAGACTGTCTTCTCATTTACATCTCATAAAACTACTGGTTGCAGAGGAATTATTCCAGATGTAAAAATGCACAGATGAGAAGCAAAAATCTGCCCATCTGCTTTAATTTGGATTGATTTGCTAAAAGATTAACCAGATAAATCGCCTTAATAAAATACTTAAACACTATTAGGTTCAAAGTCTGCTGGTCTGACCTTCATGACAACGGATTTCAGAGAATACCACCACCCATGCCAAGTGTACCAAACAATCCCGTTGTCCGTCTTTGCGGTGTAGGGGCCTTTGTAGTACAAACCGTTCAAGTTGGCAGAGTGACACCTGGTGGAAAAGTAAAGGAAAAAATAAATAAGGCTTCCTGTCGAGAAGTTGCAAGCATTTCTAGTTTCTGTACAAGTCAAAAACTTTGCCATGTTGATAAATGCCCATTTTGACAGCTGCAAAAATTTGCATTTGTGGACTTCAGTGCACCTAAACAATAAAAGTTTAATTAGGGCACAACTGCTCTTAGCTTCTTTGAAACAAAAATTCTTGTTCTTTCCACATGTTTTCTGACATTACTAGCTCTCTCAGTTTTGCCTGCTAATCTCTTTCAGTGGAGAATTATTCCAGAGTTGTTCAGGTCATGTGTGGCAGCAGGGCACACACCATGCAAAACTCTGGGAAAGAAACACTGTTCTGCTTTTTCTTGTTCCAGAGTAGCCCCTCTTAAGTTCTGCAGCTACCCAACATGGTGTTTCATATGACAAAAAACTGAATACCACCATCGGTTTGCCTATTCAGCTGTGGACTTCTATTTAGAAATAGATGAGATCTGACAGCTAATTAAACGTAAGTATACCAATTCACTGGCACTGGCATATTATTTGACTATACAAAGTACTTTTTTTTTTTTTTTGGTTCTTTAACACACTGAAGCAGAAATGCTGTTACAGTTTATTAAATACAGTAGTTAAAACAAACAAACAGAAAAACCTCTTGCAAAACTCAAAAGGCTTGAATAGGTACCAGCATAACTTGACACTCCTTTGGTTTCTACAAGAAGTTTAGATCCTTATGTGAGAGCAAAATGGTTGTTTCTTCTGCAGCACATTGTAATGAATCAGCTTGGTTTATCTGCCCTTTCAGTATTTTGTTCTAAGTGTGGTTAGTATCTAGCTGTCGAATACCATGACGGATTTCAAAAGCAGACTTCAGAAAATATGCAAACAGAAAACAGTCCAAATGAACCTTACGGTTATTTGGAACCTTATTATTACTGGCAAATCTTACTCTCTTTGGCTTTGCTTACACTTCATTAACAACAGTTTTTGAGAACTGAAATAAAAACTGTGATAAAAGCCTCATAGGAAAACTCATATATATATATATGCTTATTTGTTGCTTACAATTTTTAAGCTCAATTTTGGTAATGTGTTGGCTGAAAGATTATAAACTGCAGATATGAAAAGTGACTTTGTTTTTGAGAATGACAAACTTGCGTCAGAGCTGACAGAATCTTTCTAGCCATACAGATTCCGTGTTGAGCCAGCACGCTGTCTGCTTTGGATCAAAACGCAGATTTCATTAGAAGAATCATAATTGCTAAGAGGTATCTAGATCAACTGAACCCCTTCTTTTACTTTCTTTGATGGAAGCAGGCAAACCATGATTTTGTCAACAGCAACATGAGCCAGTAACAACTCTTAACTAGTGCTGGGAGGCACTAATAGCAAAAATATACAGTATTCTGTAACGGACTGGATGCTCTGAAGTAACTGAACATACTGAAGAAACAACTGGCATGTGATTATTGGTATGATATTCTGAAGCAACATTCATTATTGACAAGTCAATAAACACCTTAAAGTTAGCCTGTGTTCCTCCTTTCTTTCTGATAGGCTAAATTTTAAAGTAAAAGACTGCACTGCAATAGTTTAAGAAGTACAGTCAACTCTCAATTACCCATGGACATTTTATCTCAATTATATATTAACCGTATGACGGATGTGGAGAGATGGAGTTGGTTCCCTGAAGAACTGTTTGAATTCTGCCTGGACTTACTGACTCCAGTAGGGCCCCACATGGCTGTAGCTATGATTGTTGAGGCAGGAAGCCTGAGTTTGTGAGATCTGTGGCCCCAACTTGATGTCTGGCAGATCCAGTGTGATCACCCATGCATGGTGTAACTAAAACTGGGAGCACTGGGGAGATAATAAGCTCATGTCCCACTAGACCTGTTAGCTCTTCTTTTACCAGTTATGAACCTACTGACCTTTGCAACACCCTGGACGTAGGAAAGCGTATGACCTGGGTGTAGTACCAAAGTGAACTCAGCTCTGTGGATTTGCATCCAAGCTGAAAAATCTCTTCTAGAGCTTTGCTTGCAAAAGAATGCAGAGAGGCCACTTTTCTGCAGAAGTCCATGATAACAAGTGCCAAGCTGGAGCAAGACCACTGACTTTAAACTAGATCTGAGCTACTTCCATGCAGCCCCACTTGTGTCACATCTCTTGGTATTCCTATTATCTGGGCTTTTCTGTACTTCATTAGTTGAGATAGCAGAATACTGCCTATAAAAAATTCCTTCATAGCTGGAAGCTCCTATATAAACCAGCCAAGAGCACTAATTCCTTCTGTGTTTGCTAATCTGTGCATGACAAATAAATGTTCTGAGTGCTTTCCTTTCTGTGCCAGTACTGTTCTTTTGGGTAGGATTTAAGGATACTGACATTTTCTAGTATTTTGCAGTATTCAGTTTTATGTTAGACTTAACATAATAAAAGTCAGTAGCAAGGCAGTGGAATAACACTATTCATAACTCATTTTCATTATCCAGATAGCCTGTCACTTTAAGAGCATGAGCTACACAGCCATAATAGGAAGTAGCCTGGTAGGAGTCAGCTATCTTTAGTAGTTATGTAGCACCAACTACAAGGTATTAATAACTGGCGGGTTCTGCCGTACAGCTACTTTTGCAAATGGGTCATTCTTTTGTCCAGCCCAATCCAGTATTTTAAAAAAAAAAAACAATTTAAAAGACAAAAAAATTATGCAGTTGACTAAAAGTGATTGGTTATTCACTCTTAATGAACTCCATGGCATGGTATCAGAGTTTTATGCTACCTGAGGTCTAGATATTCCTCTAAATCCACAAAAGTTCTGAATTAATGGGAAAAGGATCTCCAACACAGTTGCCTTTTCCATTTACATCTTAGCTTTCATAAGAACTGCAAAAAAACTTTCTCTACATGTGATTTTTTCCATGTCTTAAACATTCTGCTGACCCACTATCCATACAAATATATTAAAATGTATTAAAATAAGCAATCAGTTGTGAAACATTGAGTTAATAGCTACATCATATCAGCTAAGGTGGTCACAGAATACTTAAGGAAACAGAATTTGGAAAATGAGGAGTTAAAAAACAGAAACAAAGGATGACACAACAGAGAGAAACAATGGAGTTGTTCCAGCCTGGCAGCTCTTGCCAAGTGAACTGAGATCACAGCGAGAGAGTAGTACACTTCCCTGAGTTGTATTTTAAAACTCTCTATTACACAGCTAGATTGCATTGTTTCTCTTCATGGCTATATTTATCTAATTAATTAAGGGAAAGAACTTAGCTACCTATACAGGCAGTGCTAAGGCTACCAGTTTTATCCTCTCTTTTTGAATTGGTATTTTGTAAGTGGTATTTTAAAATACTTTTACTGAACCCTATTTAAAAAATCTTCCTCTCAGTCCAGCCATGCTCACTGACAGAAAGTGAGTGGATGCATTCCCATCTTGATTTAGAAGGAATAACAAGAGTGACAGGCTGTGAACTGAGGTGAAAAAAATGAGGCTTAATAAGCCGGCACTAGCTTAACTTGTCAGATACTCTGCGGTACTGCCACATCTGGTCTAGTGCAATGCAGCTGAAATGCAAGAATGAAGTACAACAGGGATACATCTGCAAACTCTACATGACCTACTTGTGTAAAAACTGGTTACCTTAAAGGGGCAGAATTATCTTCTCCTTACTGGCTGACAGCAAAGACGACTGAATCTTATGGCAAATACCGTTATGACAGAGCAGCTTGAGCTGTGCGGTAGGTGCTGTCCCTTCTAAGGTGAGTCTCAGCACTGAGATCTCTGGTAGGGGTCAAGGGCAGACTGCAAATATAATAAACAATGCCAATCCTATTTTCTACCACATGGCATTATTGTATGAATACGCATGAAGCAGAATAGTTGACAATACTGATAGAAAATCAAAATACCTGTTAAACCACCAGCCAGCCTTTTCCTCTTCAGCACAGTTCCCTTCATAGTTGTCATTATCCCTGTCTCTAGTACTGAATTTCATTCCTCGATGATCAGCCCACCATTTTACTTCAGGATGAAATCCACCAGTAAGGGAATCACCAGCTGTACCAGAGTATTCACCACAGTTCATCTCATAAGAATGCTAATGAAAAATGTGAAGAAAGGAAAAAAAAAAATCCAATATGTCTTTGATCTTTAGCATGTCAGAGAGTGAAAACACAAAGAGAAAACTAATCTGTTCCATTTGCTACTATTTTTATGCTCAGAAATGTCATGCCACTTAAACACTGTGTACTAGATAATAATGCTTACCAGTCATAAAATTTGTCAATAACCTTATGTATAAATGGCTTAATAAAACCAATACTAGAGTTAGCTTGCAGTACGCATTCACAGTTCAGAACATCATGTACCACTATTGTTGTAATATCAACAAAAATAGAAAAACTTCTTTTATCCATGGCTGCTAAACCAAATGATTCATACATCTTACAGAAAGTGTGAAACTGATGTATCAATGTAAACCACTATTATTACATATTTCAAACTTCCAAGCATTTGTAAGACAGAAAATATGATAATAAGGTTCTACACAAACCTTTATGAAAATTAGGGAATCTGTATGTTTATTGCCTGTCTACAGAATCCACATTTTCATTAAAACCTCTAGTCATTATTTCGTATTTTATTACCTCTTCATCTGCAACTCTGAATCTTGCATACTGTGCAAAACGCCGTTCGCCTTCAAAATCAGTTAGATCAATTCTTAAAGTATAGTTCCCTTAAGAAATAACAACACAAATTATTTTGGTTAAACGAGTCTATCTCCCTACTTTGCAGAACAAAGTATTACAGTAGAAGATTAAAATACTATGTTTTTACCATGAATCTTATCTCTATCATCACAGTATATTTTATGGGGTTTTATCTTCTTCCTTTATGCATATTAAAGCATATCTTGTTATTCTCTGTCTTTATTCACCTGATTCAGCTTAGAAAATTTTAAAATTATTCCAATACAGATTTTCAACTGTAGACAAAAAATATCTTTAAAAAATGGCCTTATGGCCTTTATGTTTTAGTAAGGTATTTGAGGTGGCAATGAAAGGGTAGTGAAAATCAATCAATGAGCATACACCCAAGAAAATTAGATTTTTGTACTCTGAAGATAAAAGAGTTAAACTAGGACCACATCCTGGTGGCATCGATTTCCACATGAATTAGCTGATTAAGTCAATGGGTAAGTTTTGTATATGCAGCATTCTACAGCAAAGCAGAAGTTATCTTAGACTGAATGACTATTAGAAGATGGAAATAGCTTTCTAAGACTAGCCTAAACAACAGGACAGGCCCAGATCTACCTTCACGTAATAGCCTACGCAGCCACGTAAAGCCCTGACTAAATGAATTGGCGCAGACTGACTCCAGACTGTTAGTGATGCTGACTGTGAGAAGGGCAGAGACAATTGGTTTAAGGTATACTCCCATCTACTGTTCCTTGTTTTACAGGGGCTCTCTGCATGCCACAGGCCCCATGACAGTTTTGAACCTTTTGTTAGAAAACATATATTCAAACGTGTTTTGTTCTGAAACTCGAAGTCCCTGCAGACTAACAGCAGAACTCAGGATTTAAGCTAACAAAAAGGGTAACAAAAAACGGACCAGAAAGAGTAAACAAACAGAAACAATAGAAAACTAACGTAAAAATACAAATCTTACCTTGATTAGTCAAATAATGAAGATTTTTATTTCCAAGCCAATATTCACCATTTGCCAAAACAAAATTTCCAAAGCCTTCTTCATAGTCAGTCCAGACTCTGAAAAGAGTGTAGGTTACTTATTTATCAAAAAAGTAAGTTTGCTTGAATGTTTTTTTTATCATACAACCATACATCACAGAATAATTCAAATTGGGAAGAACCTCAGGAGGTAATCTAGTCCCATGTCCTGCTCAAGGCTGGGTCAGCCATGAGATCAGACCAGGTTTTTCAGGGCTTGTTCAGTCAGGTTGTGAAAACCTCCAAGGATGGAGACTGCACGTCCTCTTTGGGCAACCTGCTGGCTGTTCTCATGGTGAAAAAGTTTTTCCTTATATCCAGTCTGAACCTCTCTTATTTCAACTTACGTACTTTTTCTCTCATCCTCCCGCCAGACACCACTGTGAAAAGCCTGTTTACTCAACAAGCTCTCAAACTGCTCTGTTTTCATAGTGACCTCCTTGTAGGTACAGGCAGGCTACTATTAGGTTCTGCTGAAGCCATCTCGTCTCCAAGCTAAACAAGCCTTAGCCTGTCCTCAGAGGACAAGTGCTCCAGCCCTTGATCATCTTGGTCGTCCTCTGCTGAACTCTTTGTAGGTTCATTATATATCGGAACATTAATAAACAAATATTTGAGACTCTATTAGCTTATTTAAATTGCTGATATTCACATAACTATTTCTGTTTTTCATATGTGAAATGCTGAATCCCACACTACCACTATACTGGTCACTGAATCCCAGTCCAAAGAGTATTGCTAAGGGGTACATTCAAGGTGGTTTAAGATGAACAGATTTTAAGATCAGAAGAAAACACATTTGCTCAGTCCAATCTCTGGTATAGCACAATTTACCCAAAGTGAAAACATTTTTCCTGGTTAAATCCAGGGAATCTAAGAGAACGTGTAGGTGTATCACAAGCATTGTTTCTTTAATTTATTTTTTTAATTAATTTTTTAATTTTTTAAATTTATTTTTCAATTGTTTCTTATAATTTTCTGTGATTTGATTAAGTTGTGAAACTCCTGCAGCTGGATGTCTAATTTTGTAAATTGAGGTATTAGCTAGCTGTTTCCCACTTTGACTTATTGACTGATTCTAACAATTTTTGAACTCATATTGGTGCATGGTTTCAAGAATTGGTGTGTGTACTGAAAGCATTGAATCTTTTCCCTTTCTATAGTGGCTCTGAAACACATTCTCAGTGGTTTTGGTTTCACGACATGTTCTAACAGGGACACAAATATGATCTATTTCCTTGATGAGAAGCAACCATACTTCAACCAATGGGTGAAAGTACTAGGCTGAGGACAGGAAGCCACGAGAGAAAGCAGCCTCGGTGACTTAAGTAGCTGGTAGTCTCTGGCAAGGACGAAGAATGGGCAGTGCGTGGTGGTAACAATTGTAAACTGCTACAGATTGCTTCTGTAGTTTGTCTGACTGTATTTTATAAAATAAAAACAGCAAAGTTTTCTCAGCTGGACTGCAGTTTTTCATGCTCTCCGGGGAGTGCTTCTTTATTTCCTGAGGGTATTGTAAAGGTAGCTACAGTAATTATGAACACAGGTAAGACACAATTCAACAGAAGGATGCAGATATGTGAAAAGCAAATTGGGCAAAGTGGAGGTTCTAAAGAACTTCTTGTTGCAAATATTTGTGGTTTTTATATTGAAGTCTCACAGCACCAAAAATTTCACTTCTGGACATTTCCCAAAAACGCTTGAGTCTTGGCAAAGGCAAGGAGGTTACATGTCCACAAATCAAGTTCTCACCCATCTTGTCTCTCCTGGAGGCATTTTATCATGAGCTACAAATTACTCTGTGGTGGGTTTCCCTCATACTTGTTGCTGATGGTCTTTCAGTTCAAGCAGATTGCTTACATTTTTACTTTTTTAGATTTTCACTATTTGAAAAAGCCAGGGCGGTCCTTTACTTGTCATTAAGAGCTCTTGCTCCAACAATTGTTAATGCGCTTGATATTGAAGTGTCCTCATGTAAAATGCACGAGCTGTCAGAAAAAGACTAGAAGAGATGTCTCCTCTAGAGAGACATCTAGAGAGACAGAGCCAGAAGTTGTATCTCATCTGGATGCTGTTCCACAGAATAACCATTCCTCCTGTTTATCTGAGATAACAACTTATTCATATAATTCTGAAGTTAAGATTTAACTTAGCTCCATCTGGTTTAATGTTTATCCACTTTGTTTCCCGTTTTAATGACTAAGTCTAGTACCTACCTATCAAAATTCTGGCTGCCATCAGAACGCCTCTGAAAAACAGTCCAACCACCCCCTTCAGACATGTCACAGAAAGCAAGGAATTCAGTAGGACTCTGCATAGGTTTCATCTTATAAAATCCACTTTGCTTATGGCCGTCACTGTAGATTTCTGCACAATCTGTTCATAAAAAATTCATTGGACAGGTTTTTTAGTCCAATACTTACTGGCAAAATCAGAAATCAAGTCAATAACAGAAATCACGTCATGTTATATGAGTTACATATGAAACAGGCTAATACAAAGGAAATACCTCTGCAAATACATTTTTATGAGTTTTGCACATTTACTTGTATTTGTGTTGCTTTAAAACTTTACTGGATGTAATTATTTTGACATTTCTTTAAAAGAATATTTTTCTACCATAAAATACTATCATTTTTGTTTTCATTTGACTAGCAAAATAATTCCTCTGGTTTAAGTGGTGTCACTTTTAATTTACAATGGCATAATCCACATTAGAATCTTGTTACAATCATATAACTTCTCTACATATAAAACACAGAGTAACTTTAAAAACAAACATTTACTTCTATGTGAGACTATGGAATAATCAGTGTTAGAAAAGGGAAAGAATTGCTGGGCCTGATTCTCTTGTCCCTTGTACCAAAGAGGTGCAAAAATATATGAAAAACTACTCTCAAAAAGTGCAGTGTATGTGTAAAATGATACCACTTTGGCTTGATACCATGTAGAGTCTGGTCTCCATTGGTGTTAATGACGAATCAGCATTTACAGCAATGACAAAATTCAGAGCTCGTGAAAATATAACAGCAATGTAATTGTATAATGTTATCTTTTTTCCTTTAGGAGTTAAGAAATGAAAGGAGCTCTTTGTTTATATGTAATCTACCATCAAGCAGTCATACAGGAAAGACGTATAATTTTCAACATTTCTGTTTTTCCTGGCAGAGGTAGGGCTGATTAACTGTACGATTTTCCCTGAAAAATTTATGAACGTGTTGGCTGAACTTCCAGGCCAGTTAGGAACTTTCTGAACTATTATATTTCTTCTCAGCGAAAGTGTCAGTGAAGATTAGACAGAAAATAAACATTTTATACTGAAAACAAATAGCTATGCCAGGATTTGAATAAACTCTAATAGGAAGCATAATTTAAATAACAACTAATTTGTCTTTCTAGAGAATGTTTGATTTGCTTATAGAAAATAGCTTTTCTTGTCCGTCATTTTCTTAGTAGATTAGCAAAACACTTAAGCATATTTTAATTTTTAGCAGGTGTATACAGTGTGGAATTTCTCCCTCACTATCTAACCCCAAATTAGCCAGCTCTGTTGACATTAAAATGCTGCAGCAGTTTGAATAAAATAATGTAGTATCAAGCATTTTCCAAGCTATAAGGAAAGTGAAAAAATAATGGAAAAAAAAAATAATCAGAAATCAGAACAACTTAGATCTCTTATTTAGAATCACATTTTAAGAACATAAACTGAGGCATATGCTGAGAAAGGACAAATACCTTTCAGCTAAATGTGGCTTTAATAATGTTTTCCAGTAACAAAGGAGTCAGCCATAATAGTAAAAAAAGTATTCCAGGATGCTGCATACATAAATAAATATACAGCTAAAATTTAAAGTCAGACTTACAACTGCTTTTAATTTCATTTTACTATATTTGATGCTTTGTTGCATGTTGTCATTTCTTCCAGCAGCACAAACACCACAAGTATATTCAAACAAGGCTATTAAAAATCATAGAAGTTAAGACTCTCTAGCACTGGACAACTAGAAACAAGCACCATCCAAGAATCAGATCCCCAAATTGTATTTTCAATCCAACTATTGGTTTGGATGGTGTTTTATTATTTTAAGAGTTTGGGCCTTACTCCAGCTACTACGGGCTAACACACTTAGCCTTCTTCCACTCCAGAGGGACTGGATCACCACCACAATGCTGGTGAGATTACAAAAACAACTTGAAGCCAGTATTTTAGAAGCTGTGATGTCCTGAGCTGAACCAAACTCAGTCAAAATGGTGCAACGTACAGAATATTATTAAAGTGAGATGCAGATGTCATTATGCCAGGTTTATGTGTGTAAATACGGATGTCTCAGGGACCTTACAGATTGGGACAGAGTCGGTGCGTGCTTGTAACCCATGCAACCCTGTGAATGTGTGAATGTGAACTGACCTTGTGGGTTAGAACTTTTTGAGATTAGTCAAAGAAGTGTGTTTAGAAATCTGTAACTGTTTATTAACATTTTGTGAACATGTATTATTGGCTTGTATCTGTTGTATTGCTGACATTTATTGTGAACTTATTGTTCACGTATTGTTTTTTTAATTATGTGCTATTAATAAATCAATAAACCACTTCAATTCTGATTTTATTTATATAGTGTAACATAAACAATTTTTCCCTGCAGCAGCAGGCCTAGGTTAGAGCTGAACACTGTGTTTTAAACAAACCATTTTCTATAAGCTTTTAAAACAATGAGTCAATGGGCCCAATTGTGCCAAAGCTTCTGGGTATCATTACAATGAATGGAAATGAAAAGAATAGCTTCATTTCTAACCTGAATACTGTCTTTTTCCTCCCAAGTCAATGACACTGTTTTCATCTCCTCTGTCACTGTACTGAATCTCTTTCTTCTCTAAAAGCCGTGTAATTTTTAATTGCTGCTGTTTCACACGATGTTCCAGAAGTCTCACCTGGCCCTGCAGTCGTATCTGCTCTTGAAAACAGTTTTGTAGATCCTAGTGAGGAAAACATGTCTTATTGTAAAATCAACAATTTTTTGTCATGTTTAACATGTGACACAAAAAAACAACCAAAAAAACCATAAATAAAATTTAACTTGATTAAAACATTTTGGTCACAATTTCCTACAGTAGCTATGTTGACTTCCTCCTGCTACCTCTATTTAAAACTATTTGGTATATTACAGAGTGTCCAAACATATACCTGCTTTGCAAAGAGACCTTCTCTTTAATTGTGGTAACTACCAGCTCCCACTGCAAACAGGCAGAGGGGACTTTAGGGAAAAACACTATAGTACAGACCATACCATAAAAATTGCTTATTCTATATCACCTGCCACGTACAATGATTTACTACCCAGTGAGAACTGCTACTAACATTGTGAAGGTTCTAAAATTCCAGAGTTTTAAAGAAGCACAGTCTGCATTGATACATATTGTGCATTTTTCAAATGCTTTTAGATTACACACTTATTATGATAAGAATCTTAACATCGCCAACATAAATATCGTAAAGTTTCAAGCTCATTTTTGGCATGCTAAAATAAGTAGTCCCTAAGTTGCAAATAGGCATGAAAAATAAAAGTTAAAAACTTAAAGTCAATATTGTGCTGTGACTTGTACACTTAATTTTGCCATGCAGAGTGGTGAGAAATGTGGCGATTCTGATATGGTGATACCTAGCGCTCATTTCACCCTGGTGCAAACACGGATATGTGACAGGAGAGCTGGAATAACTGTTCCAAACTCTGACACGCTGAATGTATGCAGAGCAATAAATAATTTTTTTTAGATTAATGACTCTGGTAAAATAGCCAAAATGAACAGAACCCAATCTAGGGAACTTAAATTAAAACAGCCTGTACAGTTTCAAATAGATATTAAACAAATTTTATTTCAACATAAGGAAAAAAGCCTTTGGGGTTTTATGATACATTTTACAAATGTGACATGAGGTTTTGCATCAGTAATATTGTGTCTGCAATTTTATACGAGCAAACAGAGTTGAGTAGCTATGGTGCTTGCACGAGAGCACAACTAGCACTGTACAAGCAAAACCAGAGGGCAACCTTTTGGAAATCTGATATGCAAGATCAAATAGGCAGTAGTTCTAAATTGGGGCAACCTTATTCATAGGGCAACATTATTTACGTGAGCTAAAGATGCAGACCTGTAGCAGTTGCCATCCATGTGGAAGAGCTGATACCTTAGAACATTGCCCTATTACACTGAACTATAGAACTGTATCTGAAGCAGCGTACTGATGTGCACCTCCAGTGGCATCCACATACTTTCATTTGTAGCAGGCTCAGGCTTCACCTATTTTCTGTGAACACTCCCACCAAAATGTTTCTTGTCACTTTCCTGCTGCAGCAATTATTTTTTTTTTTCTCTCCGAAAAGCTGGTACCATTCTGTAAGTTTCTATGCAGCACAAACACAGATCTGGTTAGACTGACTTTTCTGGCAGTACCATTCACCAGAACTTCAAGAATAAACTTTGTGAATTAAACTAACAGTATTAATGAAAATCTGCATTTTATGACCCTACTACATGCAGATTTTATTCATAATTAATTTTTGGTACTAGTTAAAAAGCAGAGGAACTTCTGCTACTGTCAAGGAACATCCATATAAACTGCGTCATGACTATGACCTGTTATTTCTGATAGAAATAAGCGTTGCAGGCCCCTTTTTCACTAGAGAAGATGCAATTCACTTTCAACAAATAGACAAATGAATTAGAAACATTTCAAGAGAGTATTTGAAGATAAAAGAATCTATGTCCATGAGTTCATTGAAATGGTTCCCAGCCATGATGTTCCATTTGCCTGCAATGTTTAGTCAGACTGAAAAATTTGATGATCAGGCTTTGCAGCACAATCCTGAACACAGGCCTCTGCTTTAAGTATTTCTGAATTAACTCAACTGCAATCTAATACACATGGTGGCATAAAAGAATGGGGAATATACATGTGGCAGGACTAGGCAGTTCGTCAGTGATCTGTTCGAGAGGAAAAGGCTGAACTGCCTCTCTGGGTTTGGGCTGCCCCTGTCAGGCTGCTTTGACAGCAGTGTGTCTGCAGACTCCAGCTCTCTGCTTGCTACGAGGTCCTGAGAAGCCATTAAGACGCTTGACCACAAGGAGGAGCTGTAAAGTAAGAGGCATGTTTACCAAACACTAACAGTTTTAGAAGAATAAACAAAGCAGACGGTGACCTAATATCCCTAGAGTCCTTATTTATTTAACAATACTCCCTTGAAAATCTTTTTCAGTTGTGACATCTATACGAGATCCCTAGCACATCCTCCTTTTCTTCTAGCAGGAAAGAAGAGAAGAAAATACTTAAAATACATGCACATACAGAACAAACTTGCAACAGTGGCTTAGAGGGATGTTTTTTGACCACAAGCACTGGTAAACGTGTGACATATTGCATATTACAAAGAAAGGATGCACGATTATGCAGCCTTTCCAGGGTGGTTGTCTCAACTTGTATCTGTAGCTTCATATAAATCCTTCACAAAAGCTGAGTTACATTGGGAAATTCAGAAGAGGCTTCCTTGACAGGTCCCTGCAAATTCTCAGACTAGCCCCAAGTGTATACAGAAAATTATTGAGAACCGGATTGCTGCATCGGTGTGTTGAGAAAGAGTGAATAAATAATAAAAAAAAATATTTTCATGCTCACCCTGACAAGCTAATGCTAACTATAGAAGCAAAGCTGTCAAAAAAACCCATGTTAACAGTCACATCAAATATTAATCCTAATCACATTAAGTTAAGAGTGATAAAGGAGCCACCATGCCACGCTTACCGGTTTTACTGCAGTGTTTATATATTGAGAAGGTGAGCCTGTATCAATCTTAACTCAGTACTTGCAACCTTGGAGAACATGGTAAAACACCTTAGGAAAAGACCTGGGTGATCCTGGAAATGGTGGCCCCAGTTGCCAGCCCCTTGCAGTTTCATAGGCCAGACTTCAGGTGGGTAGTCTCTTTAACACGTGGCAAGGTCTGGGCCACAAAGAGCTAGTTTGAGTTCTGGAGAGAGCATGAGCCTGGGTGTCTGAGGAGAGGCAGCTACAGGCTGCTAAGTGTGTTTCTTTCAGGTGTAGTTACAACGCATCTATCACTTCACCTATTCATACTGCTAAAAGCCGTTCTCCTACTGGGATTAAATTACGTAGTAAAAGTACAGAATTTCTCAAAAACTATTATCGTACCTTAGAAAAACTTGGTATATAAAAGTTAGTATGACACTACTTCATATACCACCATAAAAGGTCCTTTCCTTTAAATCAAATTAAACATGGTTGCAACAGGCTATGCCTCTAAATATTATCCTTAGCTTTGCATTTTAAATTGATATTTTCTTTCTGTTTACTTAAAAATTGTGAATTACTTCATGAAAATGAAAAACTAACACTGAGCTGATTCTCATCTGCTTTACAGACAATAGAGTTATTTTGGGGTGAACAGTAACGTATCTACATGACACACAGCAATTTTCTGATTAAAAGGATTTAAGGTCACAGTGCTGGTAAATAGTAAGTGGCAGTCAAGAAAGCAACAGCCATACTGAATAACTACACCATAAGAAAGAAGTGACTGAGCAGAAATAGAAAGTAACCTACATATGAAAGGTACTGGTATCCGATACTTTGCTTTCTCTCCAACTCAGCCTCCTCACTGAGGTCTCTTTCTGTCAACTCCAGAAAAATCCCATTATACTGGACAGCAAAACCACAATTCTCGTATTTGGAATTCCCCACCTGTTTTTCCCATAGGACAATCACAAGTTAGCCATGTAACTTCTCGGTGGATCAATGTGGCTTTTAGATCTGCACGTTTTCAGATGGTTCTCTTAATGTACTACTACCCTCTTTCATGGAATAACTCTTTTAAAATCATTGGAGTTAAACCAGAAGCAAACAGAAGGTAAACAGAAGCAAAATGTAAGTTAGTGTTTTAAGAATCAGCAGGTGTAACATATTGCTATTCCTTTTGTTAGATACGGACCAAAGTTAAACTATTATGATGTTGAAATACACACAAAAAAAGTGAATTTGCGTGGTACTGTCTCCAGTGGATAGTGGTGCCCACTGACTGAAACCAGACTGAACATAACCTGTTCTGTCTGTTTCAGTGAAGCAACTGCTTGTTCTACACATTGAGGAGCAATTATCTAACAACTGCTGACAGCTCTGCTCTTGGACATGTGGTCCCACATTTAACCAGCTGCTGCAATTAATGTGCATTCACAATCTTTATTTCATTATTGTGTGAATTATTAGCAGCTAGTGACATTCCATTAAAATTGATGCTATAAATTAGATTCAGAATACTTTATGAAAACTATAAAAATACAAACTGTTTACTTGAGGTGTTATTTCATATATTTTTAGAATTTAGATGAGCTCCAAAAAATCTCTGTTGAAGTTAGTGTTTTAATGAGACTAAAATGTGAAAACTTAGAGAAAGTTTCAGAATGTTCCCAGTTTTTAGTCACAGGGTCAGCTAAAGTCCGTAATACTCCAAATGAAAAATCAAAAGATAGCAAATGTATTTCACTGTAATGCCTTTTTCTCAGTAGGCTTCTATAAAAATTAGTAATATTTTTCTCTGCTGAGCAGAAGTGCTTACAGAGGCAGGTGCTTCCTATTCTGCTCCTACAGAGCTACTTATCTGAACAAAAGGCTTCCATAAGACAATGTAAGCCACAAACAATGATGCTCACCTAGCAGTAAATTCAGCAACCACTTCCACCTACGCAATTATGAATGAACAATTCAATCTCCCAGGTCCCTGCTAGTTAGGACCCGAATATCAAACTAGGAAGGACAGCCAAGACAGGCAGTACATGACCGGTGAGGTTAGATGTATTTTAAGCAGTGGAGTAAGTGTGATTGTGTTAGGGTTTTTGTTGGAGAGGCAGAAGGTTTTGGGAGCTGGAAGTGAAGCAGCTTTGATCATTGTTTCTGAATGTGAAGCTCACATGAAGCTGTGGATCTTATTTGAGAAAAATTTGTATGGCAAGTGGGCAAGGTAGAAAAGGATAGAAAAACTGCTTCCTGAGTGTCAATGACCAGAACTACTGCTGCAGCCATCACTTTAGGAGTTCCTGGGCTTTGCCTTTCTGTAAGTATGCTGCTCAAAACAAAAGGTGTTATTCTGAGTTAGCATTACCCCTGAATGGCAGTATAACTGTCTTGTGTGCCTTCTGTACAATGTGCCTGTCAATGCATCATAGGATACCTTTTTTAGCAAAGATACTCTATCGCCTCCTATTTCTTGTTGGATCCAGTAACAAACTGACTGAATTACTTTCTTCAGTGCTACTGCCCAGTCATTTATCTTCCATTGTATGTTTATGCATTAGTTTCCTCTTTCCTTATTGGAAACCTGTCCCCACTGACCATAATTTGATGTTATTTCCCCAGTCTTTCAGTTTTGTTCTGAATTCTAATCTCTTCCATCAAAGATTCTGCCATCCCATGTAGTTAGATACACTGTAAGTGCTATGGAGGACAAGGTATGAAATATTTAGAAGAAACTCTATAGGCAAATTTAATTACTAGAACTTACAGAGCTGCCAATGGCATCCATCAAGCTAGCTGCAAGGACAAAATCAATCATTATCAAAATCTTCATTCTTTGGAAGCTGTGAAGTAGAGAAGCAAATTAAATACTAGTTAACAAACATTAAAAAGAATTATTTACGCCTGATATTTTAAATTTTATTAAAAATAATCTACTTATGCTATAATTATTTTCTTACATATTGTAAATACAATGTATATTTAGGTTTCATTACAAATATCTAAAATATTATGATCAAGTACAGCTCCAAAATCCAGTAAAAACAGAATTTATCCTTTTAGGCCACTTTATATCAGAGCCCTCCATGTATTTTAGGACAGCTATTCAAGATTCAAATCCACACATTTCACTGTGAAACAAGACAAAAGCAAAATGGCATTTTAAAATGCTCTGAAAAGCAGGACAATATTCCTTCTTGCCCTTTAAAGTTGGGAGAAAGCTCTCTGTTATATTCAGGTAATTAAAATCTGAATCGGGCTAGTTGTCCTTGAATTAAAGAAGATTTGTGCAACTCCTGTGTGACAGGAGAGGATGGAGATAATTTTACTCCTATAGAGTAATTTTGGGGAAAAATGCATAAGAGTTATCAGCTTTTATTCTAATGGTGACAAAGATGGCATCTTTCGAATGATAGCTATGCATACCTGTATGACCCACAGCACTTTAAATCCCATTATTTCATATAAAAACTATTTTATATGCCAAAACAATCACCATTGTATCTCACTGCCTTCCAAACATTAGCTGATATAACTTCACAATTTTCTGTAAGGTAGATGTGTGCTTTTCAGCCAAGGCCTCCAATTACTAAAATAGATTATGCATTAACCAATTCTAAATTGATTAGTTAAACTGCTGCAAGCTATCAGCTGAGGAATGTTTCTTTTTCTTTTTTTTTTTAACTTAAAATATTTTCATTTAGCATAAGCTAACGCCTGTTTAAACCAAAATATGTGTCCACTCTGCTTTTTCTACTTATTACACTAAATCAGCTAACTATATGTTAAAACATTTGTGGTCAGACAAAGCATGAGACCTGTAATAGAGATTAATGATTCAATTTCAGCATGTGCTTACTGAAACACCAACTTTATGGAACGTTCCACTCATGTTTCTACAGGAATTAATATAAAAGACCACTGAAACTTTGGCAGACTGTGCTTTTTACTGTACAAAGATAAGCAAGGTGCTTATGTTAAGTATGTTTTTAAGTTCTTGTAAAATTAGACAAGTCCAACTTTTATTTTCACCAATCATCTCTGAAAACCTCCTGCAACAGAACCAACTACAGCCCAGCCAAATTTCAGTTTTTCAACACCTACCTATAAAATACTTAGGAGGCTTTTTTTTAACTTAGTCATCTTATTTAGGTAAGCAACAGGTTTTTTTTTATTTTTAGTTCTGAGTTTTGCTGGTTTGAAAGCAGAGTTGTGAGTCCCAAATATATCTGTATAAAACTCGTTATACCACTACTTGCACTGGACTGATGCAGATCCAAGGTGTTGAGGGTACTCTGTACCCAGTGAGTACAGAGCATTTTTGAGACATGCAACATCAACCATTAAGCTGTAAAGCACTATACTAAGCTCATGTCTATCTAAGGATTCCAAAGGAATCCATTAAAAACTATCTATCTATAAAATGTTCCTTGAGTAGAAAGTGTGAACTGAAAATCTTTGCCTAAGTTATTTCTGTGCCATGAAATTTCTGAATTTTAAGTTGTAAGTTGATCTTCATGCTAACCAAATAAATGTTATATAATTTGAATTAGAAACATAAGGCAATGCAACAAGTTCTGCTACTGTCTGAAGTGGGGAATCCTATGAATTTCAGCCTTAAAAATGGAGGCGGAGGGGGGAATCTGGAAGAATTGCCTGGCATTGAATTCTCTTATTAATTTAGATTTCAGAAGCTTCTGCCATGGTAAAACACACACTTTCACCTGATGACAGTAGTAATTATGGCTATTGCATCCACCACTGTTTTGAAAGCAGCTGTTGCCATCTGTTGCAATGACGCTGTAGGAGGAGTGACCAAAGAGTGCATTGGTTATATGGACAACCCGCAAATGATCTGTCTCTGATAATTGCTGTCCTGACTCCATGCATATCTTAAATATGCTTTCTAGGAGAGAAGGGACTATATTTTTCTCACCAGAAGATTCATATTTAACTGTTCTGCTTCATTCTCTGTTATTTTCATTATAAAAGCACGCTGTTCTCCCTCACATTAGTCTTAATATTCAAACTGTTCTATCATGATTTCACTGACTGTGAATGCCTGAATACTGCAATCAATTTCAAATGGGTTGCACAGCTTTACAACTACAGTTTTGTTTTTGTTTTTTTTAAAAAAAGAGTATGAAGTAAAACTTACATACTGTTCAGAGACATTTAAGTTAGTAAAAAAAAAAACAAAAAAACCCTGACTAAGAGGCACAATCAGGGCAGATCACCTCCCTTGCGGCACCTGTGAGCTACTACTATGAGCAAGCTGCACAAAAGGAATGAAGAGCTGAGTGTGGAGTGTGCTGAGTGTGCAGTTGGTTTGGTTTGTCATCTTCAGATGAAGTCACCTTTCTATTTAAAGGGTGCCTCTTTCTAAAGCATGATCCTGTTGTGGGGAACTTCATAAGGGCTGCACTTGGAAAACAACTTTGCGTGTATCAGCTTTAGCACTGAAGTTAGATATATTTAAAAGACATACCGAAATATAGGAATAGTCTTATAAATAAAATGCTAAATGTGATGATTTAAATACATTGCTCAAGATATTTTAATCCTGGGGTTTAATTTTTTAGGAAGGAGTTCGGACAGTAAGCCCAAGATGGATTATTGATCTTGTAGTCACTCACAATATGAGCTCACTATGATCCTAAGAGAATTATGAGGCATATAAAGAGGGAGCAACTGAAAGCTCCATGTCGCAGACCTGTCAGTCAGAATCAGGGAAGACACTGAAACAGAGAGGACATGGGAAAAATAAACCACAGAGTGGACCTGAAGCAGGAACAACTGTTAGGGGGACAAAAATCTTTGTGCTGTTGTCCTCCCAAAAAAAGGAGAAAGGTCAAGAAGACTAGGAAGAGACATGAACACTCAAGCTCTGAAAGGAAATGGCAGACCCAATGGTGTTGCTCTGCTCCTTTCCCTGCCCAGCAGGGAGACCCAGACAAGGCAGAGGACAGTGAGCCGTGCTGATCCTGGAAGGGGCAGTACCTTGTACCTTTGAGACAATTTCTCAGCAGGTATAAACTCCCGTAGCTTATCTGATCCCACAGTTTCAGTCACGTGAGATTCACCAAGTGGTCAACCCTACAGTGAAAAGAAAAGTGTTTAATAGGGTCGAGCCCCATATACATTCAAAGTGCTTTGCATACGCTAACTGAATCAAAAGGTTCAGTCTTGGAATTAATGTGGGTAACTGTTTACTTAGTTTTTCACATTTCCTACAAAAAGTTTCAGAAAAGGTTGTATTAGTAACAGTTCTCTGAAAGTGTACATCCATGCTCTTTGGTAATATGTAAAGCTAAAGTTCTGTTCAAGGGAAGCTTAAAGCCTTGCTCTGGGAAGGCTGCTCTGAAAGTCAGTTTCTTAAAATCATTTCTCCACTCATTTAAATATTTACCCTGGTTGTTATATAGTTATTCAAAATGCATTATCCAGAAATGTACATGGAGGGTAAAATAATGAAAAATGTAGGGGGAGAATACAACCACTAATAAACATTCATGCACAATGAAATAAAAGCATTCACTCAAAAAAAAAAGCAAAAAAAAATACAAATCTTAATCCATGTCACAAATAAAAACAAATGCATAACTTCGCAAATATTTTTGTGTTGTTGATGCTAGTGAATCCAAAGAATTAATATGTGCTGAGAGAGTTCCAAGACTTTTGTTATAACACCTGTGTTGGTTTAACAAAGACAAAAAAATCCCAAATTTGTGTGGGGTGGTCTGTTTCCAGGAAAATCTTAATCTCATACAGTAGACATGGATTATCACACATCATGAGGGAGCAAGAGAAACTTAGTGTAATATTTTCAAGCTGCAAATATAAGCCCTTAACAGCTGAAAAAAAAAGAATCACTTTTTGTTTTAATAAAATTGAAGTTTAAGGGCAACTCTTGTGAAACCTCAAACCATATCCATAGGAGGTTATTCATTTACTATTCAAAGATTACACCTGGAATGTGCACTTCCACAGCTGTGCAGAAAGATTTCTCCAAAGCTATGGAATAAAAATTCTAGAAAGATACCTTTTTCCTTCTCTGTGCCTGGGCCTTCTTTACAGGCTACTCAATCAATCCTATGTTCAAATTTTCCATAAATTTTATGTTTTTCCAAGTATTTCAATAACAAGTTACTAAATAGATTTGATGACACTAGAGAAACTCTGTGCATGAAAATGTTGAACTGTTTTCTTGTTCTTGAATTCTGGAAACAGCCAGCTAGATGGAATTCAGATACCTATTTCTGTTTGTACAGTGTCAATAAGAATTACATTGCTAATAAATACAATAAGAGAGAATCTGCCAAAAGGACAGATAATGACTTGAAAGATTTTTGTTTGCTTTCTTAAAATTCAAACTGGTGTTAATGATTAAATTCAGGCACAAATTTTGCTTTGTTTTAATTAGGTAGTCTTACAAAAATTGCCCCATTTTCCTTATCTGAAAAATGGACAATAATTCATGATTTTATGTACTTTTAGGCTTAAAAAGCAGCCTTGTTCATACAGCCATACATTATCATAAATTTAGAAACTACAGATTTGAATATGAGGTTTATTAACTAACTAGACATTGTAGCAAAATAGCTAGATCCTGCTAAAACATTCATACATCGTTCGCAACATTGCACCAGTTATATGGCCTTCAAAAACATATTACTTTTAAACCATAACTACAGCAATTACCCCAAATTCTTCTTTCTTCCCTCACAGGTACCTAAAATGTTTACCTTTACCCTCTGGACAGAACTCAAAGTTGTTAAATCTTCTTAAGCTGATGCAAAGAATTCCAGAGCCCTTCCCAGGCTGCGATTGTTTTTGCTATTAAATTCTGTAGAGTTGAGGCTTACATCTGCTATGAGTCACTGGGCAGGAATGTTACTGAGAAGTTGCAGTTATCAAGACTAAATTGCAACATAAGAAGGAGAAGACGGCAATTCTGTGCCTAACACAACACTTCTGAAATAAAAATAGACCAAAAATAACAAAGGATCATCCAGTCCCTTTCACTGCTCTGATCCGGGAAATTGCTCTCAGCATCATATTCAGCTATATATTCCCGTGCTTTCCTGACTCAGAGCCTAAATCTCTTAGGCTTCAGAGGTATAGAGAGAGCATGACTGACTCAACTGACTCAGAAATAAAACATAATCACTCAGACTAGAAGTTACATGTTAGATGTGATAAAATAAAAAGAAATCTACTAAAAAAAAAACAACAACCAACCAAAACCAAAGTAACAAACAGTACAAAGCCAAAGGGAACAAGAAAAAAAGGATAAAGAATCTTGTTTGATACACGCCAGTATTTTTTAGCTAAATTGGAAGGCACTCAGAAGCACATGATCTCAGTGACTTGGTTAGAAAAAATCACTTTATATATAAACTTTTTAGAGCCAGATGAACACATCAAAGAATGCTTTAAAATGCAATTCGCTTTGAGTGTTTGCCCTCCTTCTACGTTGGCTCTTCCAAAAAGTTTAATAAATGAGTATGCTTAAAGGAATGCTTCTGGAAGAAGTGAAATCTTAAGGATCTATTGAACAAAAGCAGTAAAAGGAGTTTTACATTCCACAATATAAATATTAACACCATCAACTTCCTTTTGAAGACTAATCACTGAGAGGAAGTCACACGCTTCTTCTGAATAATTAACTTCTGGTGTAGTATTTGGAATCAGTTTACCTGGCAGTATTTCTCTTTACTAATTACATTACATCAACTAATTAACTTCATACTTCTTCATATTTCAAATATTTAATAATTACAATAAATTTCTCATGAGTAACCTACACTGAGAGTCATTCAAAAATTCAAAATCATTCAGCAAGTCATTTTTACTGGGAATCTTATTAACGACTTTTGCAAGGAGGGAGATACCTGTTCATAGCGTGACTCAACTCTTAATCGATTGTTACTCAGTGGGTGGGCTCTGAATTTAGAAAGTGGGAGAAAAAGCATAGCATTTTAAACTTGGATTTATTAACCGTTTAAACAATTTATTGAGGGTTACAAGTAGATTCTCCATCACTTGAAGTCTTTAAACAAAGACTAGATGGCTAAAATGGATGGTTGTGGTTCAGTTAAACAAGAATTATATACAGCATCAAGTCAGAAATTTGTGTTATTCAAGAAGTCTATAGGCTACCCATCATCACAATGATTTTGCAAGAATAAACATACTAAATAGAAGACTCCCAAAGAGTATATAAATGGAAGTCATATAAGTACAAAAGGAAGAGAGAAAAGTCTTTCTTAGACCCGTTGGATACATCCGATATTGAAAACTGTCAAATGTCATAGGCCTTAACGTGGCCAGTGACAACCTGGCTGTTCAGACAAATTTTATTCAGATTTGCTGCTCTTGGGAGAGTTTGCACAAAAGTGAAGCAAAATACAGCAATGATCATTAATTACCCTTTAATCAGTTTTTTGACAAAAGTATGTATAAAGGATAAAATGCTGTTCCTCACTTAAATCAACATAAGAAAGGTAAAAACAGGCAGTTGTATTAAATCCATCTTATATCTTTTGTGGATGTTTAGGAGAAATAGCAACCACAAGAAATCAGTGGTCTTTGCTCCCATCGTATTAGCACTTTTAGCTGATTACTTCCTCAGGAATTTTATCTGACAGAAGTTTAACAGCTTTGGGCAATCCCAAACATGGATATAGGCTGGGCGATAAGTGGATTGAGAGCAGCCCTGCCGATAAGGACTTGGTGGATGAAAAACTGAATATGACCAGGCAATGTGCACTTGCAGTCCAGAAAACCAATTTTACCCTGGGCTGCATCAAAGCAGCACGGCCAGCAGGTCGAGGGAGGTGATTCTGCCCCTCTGCTCTGAGACCCCCAACATAAGAAGGACATGGGCCTGTTGGAGCAAGTCCAGAGGAGGGCGAAGAAGATGATCCGAGGGCTGGAGCACCTCTGCTGTGAGGACAGGCTGAGAGAGTTGGGGTTGTTCAGCCTGGAGAAGAGAAGGCTCCGGGGAGACCTTATAGACCTTTCTGGTACCTAAAGGGGCTACAGGAAAGCTGGGGAGGGACTCCTTATCAGGGAGTGTAGTGATAGGACCAGGGGTAACAGTTTTAAACTGAAAGAGGACAGATTTAGATTAGGAAGATTAGGCAGATTTATTAGGAAGAAATTCTTGACTGTGAGGGTGGTGAGGCACTGGCCCAGGTTGCCCAGAGAAGCTGTGGCTGTCCCATCCCTGGAGGTGTTCAAGGCCAGGTTGGATAGGGGCTTTCAGTAAACTGGTTTAGCGGAAGGTGTCCCTGCCCACGGCAGGGGGGGTGGAACTAGAAGATCTTTAAGGTCCCCAAACCATTCTATGATTCTAAAATCAGCAAACACAAGACAATGTGTTCATAATATCATGCTTTTATCATTCAGGCTCAAAAGAAGTTGCAAGCATGCAAGAAGCTTTCACAGTACAAGGAACCACCCTTTTTTTCCCCCCTGCTAAGCTGTGACGCTTGTGTTAAGCACCATTTATAAAATACAAAGCTTTACTTTTTCTCGTATGTACAATTTTTATTCAGGAAAGTTTTATATCACCTGCAGCTGTCATGTAAAAATATGGAAGGGTCAAAGGTTGTACAACCACAACATGGTAACTTGGTGTTTGTCAAAATGTACTTTCATTCCATCTGTTGCAAATTATTTTGTTTATGCTCTTTTCTGCATTGTTTTAGTTTGTGTAATGCTGAGGATAAAATAGAAAACATGTAATGGACTCCATTCGAGGATTGGCTGAAATCACATATTTGAAAATGTGCATTCAGCACTGTATATCCAACAACATGATAATTAAATGGTTTTTCACATACGGTAAATAGCAACACTAATAAAATGAAAATACTTTTAAATGGAACATGCTGCTTGGTTTTGCAACTTTGACACCAGGCTTTCTTCTGGGGGGGGGAACAAACCCAAACAAAAAAAAGGCCCAAACCCCAACCTGACTAACTCCATCAAAATTATGATGTCTGAGTAAATTTAACTCTGGGGGTTTGGTTTTTAACATACAAATTAGCAGCAAGGTGTTACTTCCATAATAATATATTGTTACTGAAACAGAACAGAGCTGAAATCAAACATAAGCCAAACTCGGTTTTATCACATAATCACAGAATGGTCAGGGTTGGAAGGGACCTCTGGAGATCATCTAGTCCAACCCCCCTACCAAAGCAGTTATCCAGGTCTCCCTGTATGGTGGCACAGCCTTCTAGTGTGTCAGCCACTCCTCCCAGTTTAGTGTCATCAGCAAACTTGCTGAGGGTATATTCTGTCCCCTCATCCAGGTCGTTGATGAAATTGTTGAACAAGACTGGACCCAGTACTGACCCCTCAGGAACACTGCTAGCTACAGGCCTCCAACTAGACTCTGCGCCACTGATCACAACCCTCTGAGCTCTGCCATTCAGCCAGTTCTCAATCCACCTCATGACTAAAAATCTCTGTATGTCCATGTTTTCACAGGTAGCCGCCTTTCCAAAAATAAGTGTGTATTTTTTAATACACTAACTTAAGAATTGCATGGTATGTTTACAAGAAAATCTGGTTAAGTAGTTGCTGTAATTGACAATGTGCCAGTTACCAGAATACTATTCTATCTTCCCATTTTAAGTGTATTCCACAAATAAAAGCATTGCGTAAGAGCTTCACACACATAATGCCGTGGGTGTCTGCATAGCTGACTGACATGTTAAATGGCTTCCAACGTTCCAGAGCAGACTACTGATTAAAGCGAGTACAACTCTATCTGCTTGAGTGGAGTTACTCGAGATTGTTCAACGGTTCACTTAACTATATTTACATTAGAGGTGGCCCACATATTCAAGAGAATAAAATGATCAAACAGCTACACTGGATTTAGGCAATGGTTTGGACTGCTGTAAAAAATTATATCCATTTTTGAAAGGTAAATATAGTTATTAGCTGTTAATATTTTACATTTATTTGGAGACACATATCAAAAACCAGTGTATGTCGTACTTACTTCTGCATTAATAAGATTCTCAAGATTCCTTCTTACTAAAGCAATCTGGCATTTCAGGGTTCCTTTAGAATAATCTACACCAGTTTAACATAAGTCCTAGTTAGTCAAATGACAGCAACTCTCTTTCGTGCACTGCCTCATTTACATACAAGAAGCTTGCACCAAAGGATTAAAATAGCTCCAAAACAAGATCAAATTAAATTGACATGCTCCTGGGAGTACAAATCCCTAAAGTTCACGGGATGATGATGATGGACCTCCCTGATGCAATTCTGGTTATTCACAGGGAAGCACATGAAAAAGTCCTGTTGTACCCAACACAACAGAAATCAAAAAAAGGGAGCAGCATCATTGTTCACTATTCCAATTCTCCACTTACTCAGTACTACCTTTTTCTGAGGGTTACTGATTTTTTTGTCTCTCTGTAGGATATTGTTACATTCTTCCTGTATTTCAGGTTTCCGCTTCTTTCATTCCACTGACATGAATAGTTCCATGAGGTAATATCCAGAGTCACTGCAGTAGTCTTCAGGCTGCAGGCAAGCTACCTTAGTGTACGTGATCCACCACAGGCTTCAACCTTTGAAGCAGATAGTGGCCATTGTTGTTCCACTTGCCCATTCCTTTAAGGAATATTGTGGACCTGCTTATGCGTGACAGTTAGCCATCTCTCTCGTACAATTTATAAGTAATATTTTACTTTTTCAACCTTGGGTCAGTTAGAGTACTACAAGCCAATACCTTTCTTACTTTTGGACAAATAAGAACCTTCACAGTATTTTAAAGCTCTTGATTCTTTTAACATG